TCCCTGTGCCATTCCACATTATTACAAATAACTTCATTTCTGGACATTTATGGTTTGATTTCTTTGTATGTATGGATCACTTGGGTTGTTACCAACGTCTGGTGAAAATTTCATGTCATTAGCACCTCTAGTAATATATTTACTGCGAAAAATGGTGACGTGTTCAATACTTATTTTACCTGCTGTACACAGTCAGTCTTTTGCATAGTAGAAACACTACTTTGTGCTTATAGTCTTTGAGCCTCCTTACATTAAAAGAAGAATAAATAATCTGTTTTTAAATTAAACTCTAAACACATTATGAACAGTAAGAATAGAGAACATAAAGAAAAAAAACACTTTCGGTCCTAACTACAGAAATACTTAAGAGGACTCCCTTCAACATGTCCTGATGCATCTCAGTGATCCTGAAGACAAGTACTCTGACATCCTGTGACTACAGAAGGCGAGAGCAGATGTTTCTGCATATCTTTTTTTCCCCATGGTTGTCTCAGGATAACAGCATATTATGTCATCATCAAACCAACATAATATGTAGTTATCACAAAATAATGAGTATTTTCTCAGTTAATTTCCTGATAGTCCGGATCAGTTAAGTTGTAATGCCTGATGAGCTGCAGCCGTCTCCTTAAAGGACAAGTACTGTATATGAAAGTTATCTATACAAAAAAAATCTGCAATTTCAGCCTGTGTTATGTAGTAAACTTCATCAGTGACCAGCTGAGGGGACCAGGTTGTCTACATGGTGAACAAAAGGAAAAAAATAACTCAACTCAAGAAAACCATTAGAAAATTAAATCATTTTCTCAAGAAAACGCTCGTTACTTTGTGAAAAAACATGGGAAAAATATTATATGTGGAAAACATCCACTCTCAGCTTATATGATGGTGTTGTAGTCAAGACCACCTAACCCGAGACCAAGTCAAGACCAAGATCACAGTGTCACAAGACCGAGACAAGGCCAAGACTTTTAGGGTTTGGACCAAGTCCAGACCAAGACCAAGGGATGGCGAGGCCGAGACAAGACCAAGACCAGATTTTAAAAAAGTTTCCTAAAAGATGGAGTATTCTGTACACATGTACAGTGGGGGGAAAAGTATTTTGTCTCTCATAGTTGAGGTCTAACTATGATGTCATTCATAGGCCTCTCTCATCTTTTTAAGTGGGAGAACGTAAAATTTCATTGTTAACTAAATACTTTTTTCCACACTGTAGCTAACTTAATATGTAGAGCTAATATTGACAAAATCTTTGTGTGAGGTCAGAGGAAAGAATTTTGCCACAAAGGCAGATTGTTAATGTTAGTGACGATAAAAGTTTACAGTTTTTCCCATCGTCTCTGAAAGTGAAACACTGCTGAATTTACACGTTGCTGTACGCTTTCTCCTGGTTGTTGTTGTTTTACAATAATATTATTTATGAATAATGTAGACAAATTTTTTACTTAAAGTTTTGAAGATATCCTTCACTGCTCCCAGAGAACCACTGCTCACTTTCTGGGAGTGCTGCATGCAAGTGATGGGGGGTGGATGGGTGACAGCCGGTAACAAAAATACATAAACAGCAATAAGTCAGGTTTGGATTTGAATCAGTGTATTTTAAATCCAATGAAAGCAAGAATGTTAACAAATAAATTGGACAATAATCTGTCTGTTTGGTGATATTTCCATAGTTGTGGTCTTGACTGGTCTTGGAATAAAATTCCGAGTCCTCAATGTTTGAGACGAGACCGAGTACAAATGCTGTCGAGTCCGAGACGAGACCAAGACCATCAAAAACTGGTCTTGAGACCGGTCTTAAGACCAAGACCGGTTTCAAGTACTGCAACACTATTATATGACATAAAAAAGTGTGTTGAGCAGGGCAGCTTCAGTAGAGATGAACTGGAAGGAATAAAGTTAGATGGAATCAGATATATTTTCTCTTCATCTTCTCCCTTTATTTTCAGAACGAACAGTGAACATTTTACACTGTTGCACTAACTGACTGTCTTACAGTCAGTCCTCACTACTGCAGCACCTTTGGGCCTTGCTGTGGA